GCCCACCCGTTTGAACTAATAAAGTGCCAGGGGCCTAAGTGGTCACCTCAATATTAAAAAAAAAAAAAAAAAAAAAAAAAAAAAAAATTAAATAAAATTAATTTTAAATAAAAAATAAAATCAATAATCAACTCAAGTCAACTTAGTCAAGTCAAATTTTTAAAATCGACTTGGTTCACTAATATACTATGGATATACAGTACTATGTATATAATATACAAATAAAATTTTTACAAAAAAAATTAATATAAAATTTATATTTAAAATTTTAATTTATAATAATATATACTATAGCAGTATTGGCAATTTTTCTTGTGACCAAACAATTTTTTTGACCTTTGGCCGGCCAAAATAGGCAATGACCAATGGCCAAAAGTTTTTAATTTATATAACATTAACTAATCATATTGCTAGCTTTGAAATATGAATATATATTTGGCTATCTCGATCAAATAAATTTTTTTGCCCAATTTGGCCAATGACTACGGCCATTGGCCAGCAAAATGGCCACTGTACTATAGTATATTACAGTAATATTGACATTAAATATACAGTATATTTAATATTATATAACACTATATAACTACTATATATTATATTATAATAAATATTGCCAAAAAAAAATTCGAACTTTCAAGTTTATTATTAATTATTTATTAAATTTTATAAAAAATCTTAAATAAAATATACATGATATTTGACTATGCATTATATATATATATATATTGGCATTAGATTTTAAAATGTTAATTCGATAAATAATAAATATGATAATAAGTTTGAAAGCTCGAAATATTATTGTTCTTGGCAGCACTCATATAAAATACAAAAATCCTAATTCTAATTAACCCCTTAACAAATCTAACTTTATTAGCAAAAAATTTTTTACAAATAACACAAATAATAAATAAATAAATAAATATATATATATGATACGTATTAAACACTATAACCATAGGTACGTTCTATAATTTTCGAAAATTAATTACGTATTTATTTTTTTATTTTTCATTTATGTAATAAATGTATACGTACGTACGTACGTACAGTAATTGGAAGTTGCCAAGGAAAAACCAGATTTTTCCTTTGCGTCACATTAAATGATTAATTAATTTAATGAAATTTGATTTAAAGTTTGCCAAACCTTAAAACTACAAGTTTAAGATAGAGGTTTAAACGCTTAAAATCCAAACTTGTAGTTCAGGGGTTCAGCACCCAACTCTACGCCATCATATATTTTTATAACGTTTGTTACAAAAATAAATATATAAGTAAATATTAGCATATGAAATTAAATCTGTCCCCAGCCCTAACCTTAAAAAAAAAATTTGAATTATACTACGTACGTAGTCAAAGCGAAAAAATACATCATAAGCAGAAAGCAAAATCCGGTTTAAAAGTATAATAATAAAATTTTATCAATGATATATATAATTTAAGCTTTGTATAGTATCTATTATTAAAAATGATATATATTTAGCAGATTTACGTAGCAGAATTATAATTTACGTAAAAAATACTCATGAAATCATTAATTTATATCAATTTAGTAGTTTCGAGATATTATTTAAATAAACAAACTACGAAAATTATTTTCTTTACTACGTATTTTTTTAGTTATCAAAGGTATGCCAAGATAAAACAATTCTGCACTTTTTAAAACCATATGTACATATATTAATATTTAAATAACTATCATTAACAAAACGAAACATAATTTAATATATATGAAACATTTTTTTGATCCCCGGCTGTATCGGTACAGTACGTATAAAGAAGGTATACAGTTTGAAGTTTTTGGTAATACATAATAGATCATCAAAATTATATATGCAGGTTCTTGGCGCCTCAAAATTATTTTTGGATAAAATTTACAAGAGGGGAATTATTGATACCAAGAATGAACACATTATGCATTAGTTAAAAATAAATATGAATTTTATTTATAAGAAACCTGTATTTATACTAAATTGGAAAACATTTTTCTTAGCCAGATCAAAGACAGTTGTTGATTTATTAATTTCAAAATATCGATATCCAAATATTTATCGAAATGATAAGTCAAAATGAGGTATAACAATGGTTACAAACTATAAATAAATACCTGAAGTAACATGTTTTTTAACCTGATTATAGTGACTATAGCCTATAAATAATAATGAGCAAATTTGGTAATTTTAAATTCTTATCTCAACATTACGTAACTTTCAGCTTTTTGATTATGATCTAAATATAGTTCAATGATTTATTAAATATAAAACCCTAATTCATTTTATCCACCTAAGTATGGCAAACAAAATCTGGGGTTTGTAACACAGCGTATAAGTTCTGTAAAATACGGATAAGGAAATTTTAGATGAAAATACTAATGTATGCTCTTACCCCCGTAGCAGTCGTAGAAAGTCGTAGGAGGGACCGTATTTCGTACAAGAACCCCTTAAAATTTAAACAATGCGATCTTCGTGACGCATACATTACAAAATAATTTGACACGTACGAACGTACATATGTACGAAGGTACAGTAACGTATGTACAAAGGAGACCAATTTTCTGGTTAGTATACTTTGGCCAGCATTAATTAATTTTTGTTCAAAATTTACTGAAAGTAAAGTTGCCTGCATGAAAATTTTGCTATAGACATAGATGGTTAATGTTGCATAACCGACTATGCTTCTGATGGATTCGCAACTGGAATTTTTATGCACTCACCTTCTGCTCAGCCCGACCTTCAAATTATTGGCTCGAATCTCGATCTTGATAGCATTCAGATTAAATTTCTTATTTAAAGACCTTACTTAACTAAACTAAAGAGGGAAGTAATTTTTATTTAATCGTACAAAGGAGGGACAAGTTAAAGGAAAACCCGGTCCAGTAAAAATCTACTAATTTCATGGCACACTTACGACATCACGTGATTTAGAAGAAATTCATTACAGCATTATGTTAATAACATATATAGTTTATATATTTTATATTTTACGAGGATTTAATAGATACATACAGTAACATTGTTAACTTTAAACATTCTTCCGTAATCAAATTATATAATGATTGGACCGGATAAAATTATTCCTTAGAAGTAAATAGTAATATATAATTAACCTTTTAAAGTAAACGTTAAAATAAAACGTTAAAATAAACGTTAAATGTTAATGTCAAATGTCAATGTTAAATGTTAATAATATTAAATGTTAGAGACACTAAAGAAAGTAAACGTTAAAAGTGACGTTTAAAAGTAAACGTGGTTGACATCACTTTTTTATTCTAAAAAGAAAACCATGACCAGACAATGATTTTACAAATGATTAAGAAATAATTTCAAAGTTCTCGATCTAGTTCAGTGAACATTGATTTAACTAGTAAAATTTTAACTATTTGAAAAATGCGCCAAAGATTGGCTCTGATCATATCAATTATCAGTTATGCGTCATAATTGATATCGAGAAGATTAAACTTCTTTCTTTATCTATCTCTCTTTCTCGAGTTCGAAAACAAATCGATTCCAAAAAAATTAGTTTGAATATTTATTAATTCAAAATTGTTAAAAATTGTTAGCCAGCTGATATATTGCGACAACATAAATAAATCAGCATGCCTATATTAAATCTTTTTATTAGCAAATTCTCCATTTGTGGATATATTGTTGTTTATATTACTATTCTAATGCGGTAATTCTTTTTTTTTTATTTATTTGATTTTATTTTTGAACGCCCGTTTATTCTAATTTATTATTATTATATTTGTATCACCTTTTTAGTCTACACACGTTCTCTCTTAATTAGAAATTCCTTATATTCAAAATATCATTGTTAGGAATTTGTTGGTGCACTTTCTTCTATATCCCCTAATTTTTTCATGCCATATCATTAAGTGACAATTAATTTTATAAGTATTCAGGAAAAAGGAAGAAAGCGAGCACCGGTCTATTGTTTGCTGGACTCGGTCGTCACTTGTAAAAAAAAAAAAAAAAGGGAAAAAAAAAAAAAAAATTAACGCGAGGAGTAATAACCTGCCAACTTCAAGCAAATCTTAAACCCTTAGTAAATATTATTTCAAATTTTTATTTTTACTTTAACGAATGTAACTTTCCCTTATATTGATTAATATTTAGTCAATTATAACACTCAAAGTTAATATATACACAAAAACAATTACATTGTTGTTGTGAGCAAGTCTCACCTCTTTTCTGTTAGGTTTTTGTCAAGCTTTGAAGTTGTGACAAACATTAAAAAAAAAAAAAAAAAAAACTATTTAATTAAAAACATTAATAACAAACTTAAGATCGTAAAAAGGATTCCTTTGAATTTTTTTTTTTTTATGAGCCTTATATAAAAGTTAGTGTAAAGGAAAAAAAAAAAATGTCTAATAAACCTCGACCTCTTCTTCCTTTAACACCCGACCAAAACCAACAAATTTCCCAAGATCAATATCAAAATATACAAGGAGAACAAGGGGATAATACAGACGAATATACACCTAATAAATTCTATAATAATGATGGACTATCTAGGGCTTCCGAGCGAAGGGATCAACTAAAAAAACGACGGAGTGATCACCGTCCACTTCAATATCAACAATATACTCAATACGCATCAAATAGTACATCATCACCTCAGGATTCTAATCAATCTGATGTCCAAGTTCGACATTCTGTTCATTCTGTTGAACCAAATGATCAAATTATCAATAATAGTACCATTACAGAGAATACTGAGAATGTAGAAGATGAAGATGAAGAAGAAAGTTCGGATTTCTTTCAAACTGCCTTTCGACCTACAACTGGTAATAATCGTACAGATTTTTATCAACGTAGTAAAGCACGAACTTCTATAGTTTCAGATGATGAAAACACTGCTAATGACTTAGGTAATTTTTTATATTTTTATTTTAATTATATAATTATTTATTTATTATTATTGGATTTTGTAAAATATGTATGATACTGTATGTTCGGGTGCTTAATTATTTATCTCCGTAACATATATTATCTTTAAGACCTATATATCGAAAAATTATGTCCTGGTTGAAAAAAAAAATTCCAATTTATTAATGCGACACTATTTTTAAAAGATGAAAAAGGTCAACCATTTGACTTATCACCTACTATTGATCAAAAAGTCAGAAGGGATTCTCATACTCATAATGTGACTTCTGCTAGTGACGCGTATCGGCCTCGTCCTCCTGATTCTTTAAATCCTTCAGGCTCTCGTCTTGGTCCTAATACTAATACTACAGGTGCTCAAACTCGTCGTCAAAAATCTCTTGTGAAACCTGAACGTGCACGTAATCATCGACGTCAAATGGATTATCAAAGAAATGATAATATTGAAAATGCAAATAATAGATGGAGTGCATTTGCTGGTGATAATGATAGACGACGAAGTCAAGGTGGTCGTCAATCAGGTGATCGTAGAGTATCATCAAACGTGCCTCAAAAAAAGAAAAAATGGTATCAATGTCAATGTCCATCTGCTTGGGTAATGTTCTCAAGATGTATTACCTGTTGGGCTCCTCCATTTTTATCTTGTTATGGTATGTCTTTTTTTTGGTTTTTTTTTTTTTTTATTTCAAGTTAATTAAATATTTTTATGTTTCAGGAATGACTGATGTATTGGCTCAACATGCTTGGCGTGAAAAGGTTGCCCTTGTTGTTATTATACTTCTTCTTTGTGGAGCTGTTGGTTTTTTGACTTTTGGGTTTGATCAAGTTTTTTGTGGTACTCCACCTGCGCGAATTCGTTCTGGTGTAATTAATAATAATCAAATTTCTATACTTGGAAGAGTTTATAATATCAAAGGATTTAATCATCCACCAATTCAGGGTATAATAAATAGTACAAATTTTGAAAAAACTGCTGGTGGTAATGATCTGACTTTCATGTTTCAGGGTGTTAACGTTGATTGTAAAGGTGTATTTATTCCCATTCAACCGGCAGATAGCAATGGAAATGTTTATAATTATTTCCCTTGCGTTGCACTTAGTAATGATCCTTCAGTTCCAAATAATACTGCTGATCCTGAAAGAAGTGCTTGTCATGGTTCTAGTAGGGCGAGAAATACTATATCATCTCTGAAATATGTTGGTGATATTTTTTTCGAATGGGATGATGTACAATCATCAAATCATAATTACGTTGTTTATAATGGGTATGCTTTATTTATTTATTTTTTTCTATTATATGATAATTGTTTGATTTAATATATCTTTATTTTAATCAGACAAGTTTTTGATATGGATCGTCTTCAATGGATAGTGCCAAATATCATTTTACCTAACACGCTCAAACCATTAGCGTTTGCACAAACAAACACTTTTCGTGGTAGAGATATGACTTATTTTTTGCAAAAGAGTAATACAAATATAAAAATGGCAAAGTGTTTGGAGGAGAACTTACGTGTTGGTGTCCTTGATACAATATCTATCGGTTGTGTTATTTCCACTGCTGTGATGCTTGTTTCTTTACTTTTTATAGCTGGTGTGGTTTTGGTTAGATTTTTCTTGGCTGTTTTATTTGGATGGATATTAAGTTGGCGATTAGGAAGTTTTCGTGAAGAAACTGCTGAAGAAATTGCAAAAAGAGAACGGGAAATTGAATTATGGTCAGATGAAAATAATCATTTTTATCCTTCTACAAAGTAAGGAATGAATAAAATTAAATTTTTTTTTACCTTTATTATTAGCATTTCTTTTATAATTAATAATAATAATAATAATAATAATTATCCTTATTATTATTTTTAGCAATTCAACTTCATCAATAGGTCTTTTCAGCAAATCTCGGTTTTCGACACCTAATTTCAATAGTAGTCCTATACCATATGGTAGGAGAATGGAAAGTCGGTCGAGCAGTAGAAACAACACTTTTACTGCAGTAAATGGTGTGGTGATTTTAATCATGATTTTACTTTTTTTTTTTTTTTTTATCTTTGATCATCAATTAATAATTATCTATAATTATTTTATTTAGGGACAAAAGAATTCAATCACAGTTCAAGAAATAGTCGACCATCATCAATTAATGAATATAGTCAAAGTCGTGCAGATTCAATGACTTCTACATCATCTGCTGCACAATCAGCAACTTATCCAAATAATGTTGTTATTCCTGAACAACGTTATAATTTTCCTTTGATGCACACTATTTTATTGGTTACATGTTATTCTGAGGGTAAACAGGGTATAAAAACAACCTTAGATTCATTAGCTAGAACAGAATACCCTAAGTCGCATAAATTATTACTCTGTATAGCTGATGGTATTATTTATGGCAATGAAAATGATCTTTCGACACCAGACATTTGTGTTTCATTGATGAGTGATTTTCTTATTCCTCCTGATGAAGTTGAACCTCATTCTTACGTTGCAATAGCAGATGGTAAAAAGCGACATAATAAGGCAAAGGTTTATGCTGGTTATTATGCTTATCGAGAACTGGATGGGAGGCAAGATCGTATTCCTATGATCACTATAGCTAAATGTGGTGGTCCTGGGGAAGAAAATGATAATAAAAAACCTGGAAATCGTGGTAAACGTGACTCTCAAATTATTTTGATGAGTTTCTTACAAAAAGTTATGTTCAATGAAAGGATGACTCGACTTGAATATGAATTTTTTACTGCAATTCGAACTGTCTGTGGGGTTACTCCTGACTTTTTTGAAATTGTTCTTATGGTTAGTAATAAGATTTTTTTTTATTGACGAATTTTGGCATAATATTAATAACATATATATCATAAATTTAGATTGATGCTGATACAAAAGTTTTCCCTGATTCATTGGTTCGAATGGTTGCCTGTATGTCACATGATTCAAGTGTAATGGGACTTTGTGGGGAAACAAAAATTTCAAACAAAAATGATACTTGGGTGACAAGGATTCAAGGTATATAAAACTTTTTTTTTGTATTTTTTTTGTTTAGAGAAAACATGGTTTGTTTAACAAATATTATTATAATTTTAATCTTATATTTATATTTATTTATATTTATATTTATTTATAAATATTTATATATTTGTGCTTATTAGTTTTCGAATACTATATTAGTCACCATTTACAAAAGGCATTCGAATCCATTTTTGGTGGTGTCACTTGTTTGCCCGGTTGCTTTTGCATGTACAGGATTAAAGCACCAAAAGGCGAGAATGGATACTGGGTTCCTATTCTTGCAAATCCGGATATTGTTGAACAATACTCTGAAAATGTTGTTAATACTTTACATAAGAAAAATTTACTTCTTCTCGGAGAAGATCGATATCTTACAACTCTTATGCTTAAAAACTTTCCTAAACGAAAAACATTATTTGTTCCTCAATCAGTTTGTAAAACTGTAGTACCTGATACATTCCGTATACTTCGTTCTCAACGTCGTCGATGGATCAATTCCACAGTGCATAATCTTTTAGAACTTGTTCTTATTCCTGATTTATGTGGAACTTTCTGCTTTTCCATGCAATTCGTTATATTTATGGAGTTGGTTGGCACAGTTGTACTTCCTGCTGCTATCTCTTTCACCATGTATTTAATAGTAATATCGTTCTTTCAAAATCCTCCTCCTATAGTTCCTTTGCTTCTTTTGGCTGCTGTATTAGGTTTGCCTGCTATTCTCATTATGGTGACAACACGTAAAATTATTTATGTTGGTTGGATGTTAATTTACCTTTTATCATTACCAATATGGAATTTTGTTCTTCCATCATACGCATTTTGGCATTTTGATGATTTTTCATGGGGTAAAACTCGCGAAGTGAAGGGGGAGGATGAAGGTGGTCATGCTGATCATTCAAGAAGGGAAGGAGAGTTTGATAGTTCACATATTGTAATGAGACGATGGGCTGAATGGGAAAGGTATAGACTTCGTCGGGATTCACAACACCGAATACAATCAGTACAATTATCTCCTGATGAAAATTTTAATATACCATCAACACGCCCATCATCGGCATCAACAATGTATGGTAGTGAAAAATCAGAATCCATACCCATAGGACCAATGAATGCAAGGAGTGGTATTAGAAGAAAAACTGATTCACTAATGGTACCACCTCCATTAAGTAGCGATCCTTCAACACCAGTTTCACCACCTACACCATCTAGTACTATCCCATATGAGGGTTATGTATCATCCAATGGCGATTATTCACAAATGTCACAACCAATTTATATGGCACCATCAAGATCAAACACTAATAGTACAACCTATAGTTATAGTAGTAATCCACATGCTGGCATTATTGGGGGTGCTTCATATTCAAATGGATATGAAGAAAATAATCATATTCAACAACGTAGAGAATTTTAACATTATTATGAAATCTAATTTTTCTGAGGGTGCAAGGACAATATTGTCGTTTTAAAAAAGTAATTGGTATAATTAAATTAATCCATCAGTTTCCGTGTTACATTCTTTTTTTTTTTTTCGAACAATTGGTGTTCGATAATTTACATTTGGATATCGGAAGGAAAAGGTAAAGTCATGATTTAGCACATATCCGTTAAAACAAAAATTATAATAATATACGTATTTGGTGTAATAGTAGTAAAATTTTATTGTTGTAGTATTAGCATTTTTTTTGAATATATATTATGTACAAAATTGTACTAAAGTAAAAAAAAAATAAATAAATAAATAAATAATACAAAACTAATGGATATTTAATTTATATTATATACGTACGTAGTAATAATAATAAATTATATATATACGTATGAATAAAAATATATTCTTAACCTATTACAGTATATAAATTAACTATATAACTTAAAATGGCTTCTAAGCATCGATTTACGCGTCTAACAAAAAAAGAGTATCTATGGTTAGCGCTCGGACTCGGATTAGATGTTAACCCGAAGCAAACCAAAAAATCCCTAATCGGGAATTCAAAAATAATTCGTCTTGGTTATTGGTAAAGTTCGTTTAAACCTAAAAAAAATAAAATTGAAATACGTATCAGCTATTAATGTTAAAAATAGATTAAAAAGCATTTTATATTACGCAATTTGGGAAATTTTTAAGCCCAGGATTTTTCGACCGTTTTTGAAATAATCGATAAATATCTCAGGGTTGTGATAGAATTTAAAAGTTCACATAGTACTGTACATTAGTGTTCCGATCCTACTTGCAATAGACCATCCGGATTGATCTGAATTTTTTAAAATCCTAATTTTTTACGGATCTATCCTTAATTACGGATCTATTCGGATTTATCCTACAACAAATAAAATTTTACAACCGCATAATCAGACAATTACAATTATTTTAATATGAAATACGTATGATTTGATTATTGTGAATAAATATAAATAAATAACTACTCAGTAATTATAATATGCTAATTGGATTTATTTTATTTTATTATAATACATTGAAGTTTGCATAAGCCGTTTTTATAATAGAATCCAATATTAAATTTTCTGTCAGAATTGTTATTTTTAGCAGATTTTAAATATTATTCTCTTTATTATATATACTATTTTGATAAAAGAATTTAGTATTAATTAGTCTTTTTTAATTGCTATTTTAAAAAGTTTAATAAAAATTACTGAAACATACATGTAATGTTTTAAATAAATTACTCAGCTTCATTCCATTCTTGCGCAAAGACTTGTATAGATTTCATATTTCTTTTTAAAAATAGCATTTGACCTACTAATTCTGTATCCAATCGGGTTCTTTTTACTGTAATTAAATTATTAGCATGTGAAAATAATCTATCACAAGCCACAGAAGTTGCCGGTATTCCTAAATATTTGCGAGCAATTTGTGATAATATTGGAAAGATCTGCATACGAGCCCACCACCAATCTAATGGATTTTCAGTTTTTGCCACAACTGGTAATGCTAAATAGTTGCTTATTTTATTATTAGCAGTAACAGTATGACTTGTACTTTTTTTATTTTTAAGTTGACGTCGTTGATGATATTCTTTATGTGAACACAATGGAAAATCTGCATCAGATATAGAAACAGAAGAATTATTTGAAGATTCAATTATTGATAATAAATCATCATTTTCTTTCATTTCATTAAGCTCATTATGAAGCTTTTGAATAATTCGATTTTTATCAAATTCTAGTTTCAATTCTAATTCCTTAAAGCAAGAATCTAACAAAGAGGCCATTAATCTCATATCATTAGGAGTATCCCAATAAAAAAGCAATGCATTATATATATTATCTTTTATTTGATCTAAAACTTCATTTGTATTTAATGAATATTTAATAAATATTTTATTTTTAGTAATATTGCTTAGAACCTCTTCATCATCGATTTCAATTTCTTCAAAATCCTCTGAATCAAATATAGTATTATTATCAAGATAATCAACATCATTTGATGAATTTTCGGCTAAATCAAAAGTAAGCTCTTTAATTTTAGGAATCATTTTACTAAAAGTAATATAAGTTCCTTCAGAAAAATCTCGTGTTACTTCTTCAAATGGCATAAGAAGATCGACTAATTGGTCTAATAACTCCCATTCATCTTCAGATAGCATTATTTTTTTTAACTTAATACCATCCTTTTTATCCTCTCTATTTACACTTGTATATAAATCAGCTTCTAACTGAATTATTGCATCTTTAAGATAAATAAGACAATCCCAGGCATAGTATGATGAATTCCATCTAGTCTACACATCTTGAATACAACGCATTACATCTTGATACATTAATTTTTGCTGCACCTCCTCTAACCTTTCAATTTGTTTTTGAGTTGAAAAAAAACTAATTAATCGTCTTATACACATTACTAAAATTTCAGCAGGTAATAACCCTTTTCTAATTGCTAATTGAAGTGTATGTACAGACACAGAATTCTTTGAATATTTTCACATTTATGATTTTGAGATAAAATAGGTAGTGCTGCCTTCATATTGGCTGTGTTGTTAGTAACAATTGACACTACACGGCCTTCAATATTCCAATTTAAAATATATTTATAAAGTAATTTAGCAATAGTATTTGCCATATGGGGAGAAGGAGCATATATTATATCCAACATTACATCTTTAATTTTAAAGTCTGATGTAATCTATGTAGCTGTAATGCCCATATATCTATGTTTGGCTCTATTTGACCACAAATCTGTTGTAAGAGATATGGTTGTTGCAGTTTCATTTAATAAATTAATTAGATTTTGACAATTATAATAATAACTTTTTGTTATCATTGTTTTTATTTTTTGTTCTCTAGGCATTATAAAAGAAGAATCAAACTGAAACATTTTTTCTTTATATACTGGATTTGTAACAGTAGAAATAGGCTGATCCGAAAGTAATATCTATTTAAGAATAGTTTCTTCTCGCTGCCTTTGAATATGTTTTGGATGTGGATTAATAGATCGAGTATAATCAGTAATTTTTGTACTTTTTAACTAAAAAATTATAATTTAGTTAATTTTAAATTCAAAGTCTTAAATTTTAAAAAAAATAAAACATATTCTTTTAGGCTTAGGTTCACTTCCATTTTCATCATTATTAACAATATGATGAATGTCCCGTAAATGTGCAATAAGATTTCCAGTAGAACTTCCAATATTGTAATATTTTTGATCATATCGATCACCATTATCATTTAGAATTTTACAAATTTGTACTGGCTCACCTTTTTCATCAAAAGTCTTTTCAAAATATGGTCTTACAAATGATGGTTTTCGTTTGACTTCTGATTTTAGAAATTGTATTCATTTTCTTGTCTTTAATAAGGTTAAAGTATTAATATTTATTGAGTTAAAAATTAATTAATATTTAAAATAACTTATTACCATTATTAATAGGTGAAAATGATGCGATATGGTTAGAGCTTATTTCATCTTCTTCATAGTTATCCATTATTATTAAAAAAAAAAACTAATACTATAATAATTATCTGCTGTGAAATTTAATTTAAAGTTATAAATTTTTGAACTCTAACTATCACAGAATTAACGACAATCAATGTTATTATCTTGCTTAGTATACTTTATTCACTTTTAAGTAAGTTTTAATGTTTCATTATTATCGTTACTTATCCAAGACTAATTTTGATTCTCTTTTATATCAATTTTATCTATTACATATTTTGTGTTACTTTGTTTAATTAACTCTCCATTGTTACGATCATAATCTATGATCACACATGACCTTGTTAATATTTGCATTATTGATAAGCGTTGACTCTATCGGTTATTTAATCCGGATCATAATCTGGATCTATCCTTATCCCTTATCCGTAATTATAAGGATCCAATACAGCTAAAAATATCCAATCCGGATATCCGAATTTAATCCGGATTAGAGGATCAATCTGGATCAATCCGGATTACTCGGATTTAGGATCGGAGCACTACAGGTAAAATCTAAATTTATCGTTATTCTATAACAGGTCGTAGAATTCTAAAATTTTTAGTTTGGTTTTAAAAAAAAAAAGTTAGCCGATTATAAAATCTGTTGTAAATTAAAATAAAAACTAGATTCAGCAAATAAAAAAAAAGCATAGCTTATAAGTTATATAATCCTGTATTATAATCGTATTTGGCAAGTTTTATAAAATATGTATATAAAGAGCTAAGTGTTGGTAGTAAAGGGTTATGTAAAGTGTTTTACAAATTTATTTTACTGCATATAGAGTTCCAATCCATTAAGCATTTATCCGATAACTAATATCTATTTACCGGATACCTGAGGATCTGAATTATCTGGATAATTAGATACGGATGACAGATGACAGATTTATCCGAATTGGAACAGTACTAATGGTTTACATTTACTAAAATGTCCTACGTAAGTGTTTTAATACTATAGTCTCTATATCGATATCAAAATTATTAATAAAAATATTATGTTAACTATATAATTTAATATTAAACCTAATTTTGGTTTAATTTTTAACAAGGACTTTGTAATTTACCGCCATAGCGATGTATCTCAAAAATCCAAAATTTTGAAATTTAGCGCCATGTGATTCCGGGGTTCTAATATTCAAACCCCACTTATAATTAGTAATTGTCACGAATCATAATGAAATCAAATTAAACTCTCTAAAATTCGCTTATACCTATTTATTATAAATTTTACTCTAAAATTAACCTCTAACTCTATTGTACCTGTCAAGACCCGGGTATTATTAAACTACCCAGCTATCCAGGTAATTTAGTATAGCCATATAATAAAAATGTCTACCCGGGTACAATCTCTACCTTTTAACTCTAAAAAATGTATTTTAAAAATTTTTATTTTTTTAGTGGTTTGTTTATTTTTATTTTGTATAATATATATTTTTGTTTATTTTTATTTTGTATAATATATATTTTATTTAAAATATGTTTAAAGCTTTTAATAAAATAAATCTAAAGATTTGTAAAGATATACAAAAGAATTAATATACTGTATTTTATACTATAAATTTTATACTAAATTTTTATATTAACAAGTTATAGCTTATATTGAAATATAATTTAGAATAGAAAAAAGTTATAACATTCTTTATTGATATTTTTTTAAATTTATATATTTCAAGAACTTGAAACCTCTGCCAATTCTAGAGATGCTACTAGTAACTTTAATATAATTATAAATGAACAAATTCTTTTATAATTTCTTTACTTAAATAAATTATTATAAACAATAAATCAAATTAATTACCTTTTTTGTAAAAAAATAGTCAAGGCAGTTGTTAAGTAAGCATTTAAAATAACAATAGTAAGAACTAAAATGAAGTAATTTAATTTCATTGTGACAATTAATATTTTAGCAAAATCATATTAATTAATGATCTTTATATGTATAAACTGGTGAAATAATTAATACAAATAAAAAAATTGGATATAGTAATATTCTTGATTTGTAAATATAATTTGCTGATTTTAATTTATTAATTAGTAATTTTTAGTAAATAAAAAGATTTGAAGTAAATATATCTTTATTATAAAAAAAAACTCTTTCTGACGATCACTTATACCAAATTTTCTCACCGAACAAAAACAAAAATTTCATTGGAGAAGGTGAAGGTACTATGTGGTGGTTCTTGTAAAGATTAACCTTCTGTTCGGGGACTTCTCTATATATTTGGCATGCAAACCAAAAGCATTGGTATACAAGATAACTGGCAAAGGTGTTGCTCTTGTATACAAAATTTTGGAAATATTAGTGCTTTGATAAAAGTGAGGCTATATTGTTGACAAAGTCAAGCATAAGCAATATAATAGAAGGTGAGTTTTTTTAAGACACTCTTTTGAAAATTTGAAGCCAAGTGACTCCTACTATACTTTTTTCTGCTTTTATGCCTTTCTTCCAAAATTCTTCGATAAAAAGTAGGAATTTAGCTTACCCTTTCCAAAAGATCGGCATTGTTTATACTTATCTAATTTAGATGAACTCAGTAGAATACAATTATGTGTTTTGTTTATGGATAAACACTGTGCTATAGTACGTGAAGAAATCGATTTCCCAGAGCGAGTATTTGACGATTTCGACGTTCCTGTTTAGAAAATACCCGAATAAAATTGATATCTAGAAGGAGTTTATAAGATAAAGTTGGAAGCTTTATATTTGAGATATAATATTCAGCTACAGAATTTATATAATTTTTATCCTATACCTGGCACAGGCTATAATAGTGTATCATGGCTACCTTTCTTTTTTTTTATTTTTTTTATTTTTGTTTATTTATATTAGATTATTTTAGAATTTGTTTATGTTTTTTTTCTCACCGTAAAGCGTTTTTTTCTAAAATATTTAGGTCTTTTGTAAACATGGCTTTATTTTTTTTTTTTACTTTTATATATAAATAAGAGTTTAATTATATTGTCGGACTTAGGTGGAAGAAGTCTAAGAGAAGGGAAAAGTGGTTATGACGAGTGGTAGATACTATCTGTTGAAAGCCGGGTCATATCCAATTGCAGGAAGGGTCCGGAAGGAGGAGAATCCTACTATAGCAAGTCAAATATAGGTACTCATTAAGCAATCAGTTTAGTTTTTATTTGTAATTTAGGTATAGTTGTGTGGCCTTCAGGCATGGCACATGTTGTTTAGAGATAGTTCTTATATGCTATCTGCTGACATATTTAGAGTTTATTACTTATCGATAAGTCTCTCTAAAATTTTAATAGTCTAGATGATTATTACAAAGCTTAATAAAGTAAAGGCATAGCTGCCAAATTGTTAAAAAAATAATAATAATAATAATTTGAAGTATACATAATATTATACTCTTGGCTATAAACTTAATTAGTTTTATTATTTAATAGTTTTAATTATAATTAAGTGAATGAAAAACCTAAAACAAATAATTTTCAGGAACTTTTCCCAACAATTACCTGGACCAAAATTTTCTGCTAAAGAAAAACTAGAACTACTTGTTAGAAAGTCATGGCCAAAACAGTGGTTTGTCTAAAGGTTAACTACTACTCTCGAGGACTCCTCTAAAAGGATGTTTGGCATGCATTATTATACAAGATAACTGGCAGGTGGTGCCTTTGTATAAAAAATCTTGGTGGAGTATAGGTGGGGAGGTCCAACTTCATTAATGAAGCTGTTAGGCTGTTACTTCAATAAAGAACACAAGGGAAACAACAAAAAACTCTGCTTTTTTAACATACTTATTTGAAAATTTTGAAAGTACTTGCAACTTTCTCCTCTTATTTCTGCTTTCCTTCGGTTTTTCAAAAAAAATTTTCAAAAGGTGAAGATTTGGCTTACCTCCTCCAAAAGATTGATAGTGTTTATATTCCAAATCCAGATAGCCAAGTAGATTACAACTACGTGTTCGATGGATATGATGCTACTAATTTGAACAGGTCCTGAATTCTAATAGCGGCAGTAGGTGGCTTAAGATATGGGTCTATGGATGGTAACAGCACCTGGCTCAAGATACGGATTAGGTTGGAACTAAATATTTCGGAGTCAGTCATACGGTTGGAAAGAAACAATAACATTAAGGTGAAGCTTTACAGTAGAGATATACAAATATTGTATTTGTTATATACTTGCCTGGCACAGGTTATAATAGTATACTCTCTTTTTTCTTTTTGGTATTCGTTTTTGTGCTATTTCTTGATAAAGGTAGCTGCTATTCCTCTCGGGTGATGGTTTTTTCTTGTTCAGTCTGTCAGGGCTTATCTCTTTGTTTTTTCTTTTTTATATTTTTCATTTCTTCTATTTTTATTCCTTATTATTTTCCCTTTCTTGTTTTGTTTTTTTTTGTATATAAACTCCTTTTCTTCTTGATGTATGTTCTAGTATTAAGAATACAGAACATTATTTTCTTTTGCTCTCGGTGAAGAAAGTAAAGATAAAAGAATAAGCTCTTGGCAGGCTGACAAGATCTTCTAACTTATATGTAGGTTGGTACGACACGTCGCTCTTGGGCACACTAGATGCAGCCGGAAGATATTGGGCTTGCAATTGTTATACTGTGATTATTCATATCGTCCAAGTTTGTTTAATAAAATATTGTATTTGAGCTCTGGCAAGGCTATCAAAGAGCTAAAAAAAAAAAAAAAAAAACCTAAAACAAATAAATAAATAAACTAATATTTAGTTAGAATTTGCTTACAAATTTAAACAAGTTGCTAAATATTAAACCAAATAATTCAACAATACTAAGTAATTATAAAATAATTTATTATTTAATAAACAAATACAAAAAATCATTTGCAAACTTAAATAAATTATTATAATTAAACCAAACAATCTAGCTATATTAAAAATTTGTAGATTAGCTTATTAAAAGATAGATTTATATAAAGAATTGTTTAAAATTTAAATAAATTATAAGAAATTAATTCAAATAACACAATAGTATTATATAATTATATATTAGTTTACCAAAATATAAGTAACAAGAAATTATT